GCGGTCAAAAATGGGGTGTCTACACAATCATATTCAATGATAACGGCTAAGAGATTAGTTTTAATTCGCCTAATCCTCATGCAATTTCTACAACAATCATGACTATCCTCCATCGACAGACCAAAATAGATATTTCTAACAGATATACAATCTTCACAGTAGATAGATTATCCAAATTTCCATAAGTGTAAGGTAATATATATCTAACTCCACCGTTTATATAAATATCCATCCAATTTTATATTCCCAATACCAATTCTATTATTTATACAAAATATTTATTCGAGACATTTTAGAGCAAAACGTTCTTTTTTCCAATTTCATCCCAAACACCAAAATCAACCGTTTTAACACAACACAAGACAAGCTCACATTTACTCCCATAACCATTTTCAATACATTCATTCAAAAACCCGTCTTTGATTTTAAACCAAAACCCTAGATTTGTTCAAAATCACCTCAAATCCCAATATTTCTTACACATCAACAAATAACTAAACTAAAATTCATAGAAGAGTGTCGAAAGTCCCCACCTCAAAGTTAGGAGACGAGTAAAGCAAGGTGGAAACTTCAACGACGCCGAAACCAAGTTTCAATCGGATAAGAATGCTCTAACTTTTTCTCAAAGACACTAGGGTAGAGAACCCAATGGATCTAGGTGAAAATGTAGAGAGAGAGAGTTTTAGAGAGAGAGGGTCAAGATCTAAGGTTTTGAAATATTTTAGAAAGAGAAAGGGATGAAAAAGTGATGTAAAAAATGGTTATCACAAATTGATATGAATTTTAACAAAGATATAAGTATGATACACATGTTCAACGCCCAATGACAAATCTTTTACAACTCTTTTCCAAAACCATGTTATGCCAAACTAACATTTCAATTCATTTTATCGCAGTTCATTAGTTATACCCACTTCATATAATCAACCGAACAGAGGGTATACCCCATAGGTTTCCAACCAATATAATTATCATACAAATACATTTACTTGTCATTTTATGAAAATTTTGTCCGCGGGAATCGGCACCCATGTATACATGCAGTTTTCGGAACTTTCATCCTGGACACATATGCCAACTTAGTTTAATGAAGTCCATCCTCTTTCTTCTCCCAAATATCATACATATACAATGTATACACATCGCAATCATATTCAATGATAACGGCTAAGAGATTAGTTTCAATTCGCCTAATCCTCATGCAATTTCTACAACAATCATGACTATCCTCCATCGACAGACCAAAACAGATATTTCTAACAGATATACAATGTTCACAATAGATAGATTATCCAAATTTCCATAGGTGTAAGGTAATATATATCTAACTCCACCGTTTATATAAACATTCATCCAATTTTATATTCCCAATACCAATTCTATTATTTATACAAAATATTTATTCGAGACATTTTAGAGCAAAACGTTCTTTTTTCCAATTTCATCCCAAACACCAAAATCAACCGTTTTAACACAACACAAGACAAGCTCACATTTACTCCCATAACCATTTTCAATACATTCATTCAAAAACCCGTCTTTGATTTTAAACCAAAACCCTAGATTTGTTCAAAATCACCTCAAATCCCAATATTTCTTACACATCAACAAATAACTAAACTAAAATTCATAGAAGAGTGTCGAAAGTCCCCACCTCAAAGTTAGGAGACGAGTAAAGCAAGGTGGAAACTTCAACGACGCCGAAACCAAGTTTTAATCGGATAAAAACGGAGCTCTTGAGATGCTTTACCTTTTTTCTAGAGACATTAGGGTAAAGAAACCAACAGATCTAGGTGAAAATGCAGAGAGAAGATGAGTTCTAAAGAGATAAGGTCAAGATCTAGGGTTTTAAAATGTTTTAAAGAGAGAGAGAGAGATGAAAAAGTAATGTAAAAAGGTGTTGCTGCAAATGGATATACGCACAGTCCACTTGAGCATGAGAAGTAACGCTCGAGCGTCAGACACAATAAGTTGTTCCGCTCAAGCGCAAGAAGTGACACTATCGAGCGCTAAGACACAAAACAAAAGGGCATTACCGCTCGAGCTGAAGAAGTGACGTTGAGTATAGAATACACACATCTAGCAGTTTTTGCAGAAAATAGACCAATGCTTAAGTGCTAGAAAGGTCGTTCGAGCACCCACCCGCTCGAGTGTAAAAACACCGCTCGAGCGTAGAATACACCTGCCTAGTAGTTTTGTAGACCTGCAAAAGTACTAAGAGTTTACAAAACCCGCTCGAGTGCAAGATGTGTCGCTCAATCGGAGAAGCAAAATTCTAGACAACAAAGGTTTGCAAACTAAGCAACCTACTTGTTCCAAATACAACCACTACAATCCAATCACCCAATTTAAGGAAAAATAAGGGGGGAAAAAACATCAACAACCATACGGAGCTATGAAACCCGAGTTCAAAATACACAATGGGTTGGGTCTAAATCAGAAACGCTATATTAGTTTAGTTGAAAATAAATGACAACATCATTTTTTCATTTATACAACTAACAAATTATTAATGAAAATCAATCTAATTGTTATATAAATTAAAATTTTAAGAGAAGTCAATATAATTATATTAAAAATATAAAATTGACTGTATTTTTTAAAACTTCATAAAAGTGAATGTAATTTACCTTTACTTATAGGGCAAATTACAAATATACCCTCTAAGATTTGTATATGATATGAATTGTCCCTTTAGTTTTAAAAATTACAAAAACCCATTGTTAAATTTTTTTATTTAACATAATTAACAGAAAAAATAAAATTTATAATTGCTCTCCTATACAATAATAAATTTACTTGAATTGTTAATTAAAATATTTTTTTGACATCATTAAAAATTATTAATTAATTTAATAATTTATTAATAAAGGAATAATTTATTATGCGATTAGAAAGTTAAAGAGGTTGGATGTAATTTTTAAAATTATAAGAATAATTTATATTTTAAGCAAATTTTAAGAAAGCACTAGAAGCTTCTCCAAAGAAAGCAAAAAATTCGTCTTTTATTCTTTTCTTTTTAGTCGTTCCTTCTCCTTTTTCTTTTCTAGATGCAAATTTTTAGTTAAAATAATTAATAAAGATAAATATATGTATATATATTAAAATAATTAACAAAATAAATAGTCACATTTAAAAGCACTAGAAGCTTCTGTCAAAGGAAGCAAAAAATTCATCATTTTTTCTTTTCTTATTAGTCGTTCCTTCTCCTTTTTCTTTTCTAGATGCAATTTTTTAATTAAAAGGGGAAATTACCCACAGGTCCCATGTGGAACATGTGGACACCATTTAATCCCATAACTTTTTGGGTACACCCAAAAGTCCTTTCCTCCATCTCTCTGGTTTTTTCCTCCCTTTTTACGTTTTCTTCTTTCTCTTATTTTTCTACATTTTTCTCTCATCGTCTTCGTCATAGACGATGGTGCAAGTGTTCATGTCTTTCTCCATTGATCGGGGTTCACTGATAACCGCCAACCATTGAAATCAACTCATGATTTCACTCTCACCGACGACGAAGATATATATTTCTGACGAAGAAGATGAGTGGATCTACTTAGATCTACATCAGATTTGGCTAGATCTAAACAAAAAATAGTTGTCGGAGTACAATCCTCTCTCTACATCTGCCTTTCTCCTTCGATCTCTTTTTTTTTTCTCTGCTATACACTTCTGTTTTTCTGTTCTAATGGAGAAAATTTTCGAATTCTGAACAAGCAGTTTTCGAGTTTTAGTTACAGGCAGTGAAAACTGTAAAATTTTGCAGTTTCAAATTTTTTTTTTGGTGCTGGAATGAATCATGGTTTAAAACTGTAAAATTTCGCAGTTTTATAACATTCTTTAGAACTGTAAAATTTTACAGTTTCATAACATGTATGATATATTTTCCGACGAAGAAGATGAATGGATCTACTCAAATTTTTTTTTGGAGTGGAAGTATTGTTTGGATGGGCTCTACATTTAAGGGCATGTTAGGATCGACCTTCTTCTTCCTTTTCGAGGCTGCCTCTAATGGTTTTTTAACTTTAGATAAGACTGAGGAAACCTTTATCGAAGGAGAAGGTGAAATAATTGTTGCTGCAAAACAGAAAGTAAGAAACAATGGTAAGTTTTATTGCTAAAACTTTGGGAAAAGGAATTATCAAAAAAAAAAAAAAAAATTAACTATTATTTTAAATATAATTTTTTTTTCTAAAACGAAAATAATATATAAAAAAAATAAATTTTTTCAATTCATACCAAACGACACCAAGCAACATTGGACAGGACTTACTTAAGAAACATTAGACATCACTTACCTATAAAAGGTATCATTACATATTTAGACATCACTTACCTATAAAAGGTATGAAAGGTATCATTACATATTTTTCATTGAGCAAGAGCATCTCCAATGGTAGTAGGCATTTTACCTATCTAAATATTACTATAAAGTATATATTTTATTTTGCCTGTCAACAATTTCATGTTTCTATCCCAACCATACTCTTTATTTTAGATATTCATCCAAATACTATTAACTTTATAGAATGTCACGTCAGCAACAAAGATGGAGGGAAATAATCTTAATGATTAAATACATTTTGCCTAGCCTTGAAGGCTAGCTACATGTAGCTAGTGAATGTGAGCTGAGCCAAAATGCCTAAGCATATGCCTAGTGCATTGGAGTTGAAAAAAGTGAGTCACATTAGGCATTTTGACTAAAATAGTCACATTTAAATCAGAATTATTTGATTTTTTTTCACAACCGTCTAGTCAATTATCAAAGAAAAAAAAAATTAACTATCATTTTAAATATAATTTTTTTTCTAAAACGAAAATAATATATAAAAAAATAAATTTTTTCATCTCATACCAAACGGCACCAAATAACATTGGACAGGACTTACTTAACAAACATTAGACATCACTTACCTATAAAAGGTATCATTACATATTTAGACATCACTTACCTATAAAAGGTATCATTACATATTTTTCATTAGAGACTAAAGTTGGTGAAAATGGAAAGCTCGGGTTTAAGCCACCGCTCCAAAGCTTACCAATTCGCATCAGAAAAAACACCCGAATCGTCTTCATTCTTCTGTGATTTTCTCAGAGAGAATATGAATGGCGCGATATCAATAGACAATCGTGGCGACACGGTTCTCCATCTTTTGGCGATCCATGGCAACGTGGATGTCATGGAAAGTCTAGTTCTAACTAACGAATTACTGATGAAAAAGAACATGAATGGAAACACCGCCCTGCATGAAGCTGCGAGGTTTGGGCAGGCGGGCGTGGCGAAGATCATGTTGAGGAAGAAACAATATCTGGTAATGGAGCAGAATGAGTCGAGAGAGACGCCTCTGTACCTTGCTGCTGCGTATGGGAAGAGGGAAGTTTTCCAAGTTTTGGAGAGTTTTGGTAGCGATTGCTTGACAAGGAGACGTGATGGTCGTACCATTCTCCATGCGGCCGTTGAGGGAGAACGTTACTGTATGTTTCCAATACCTATATTTTGAAAGAACTGGATTCCCTCTAGTTCATAATTTAGACTATATTATACTGTTTCAACCTGTGGGCTTCTTATAGATCTTATTTTATTGATTTAAATTGTTATATTGTCAGATAGTTCATGTATTTTATTCAAACAAAAAATTACGTCGATACAATTATCATAACTTAATTTATTGTATTTCTAAAAAAAATGAATGTTAATTATGTTTTTAAAAATAAACGCTTCATTTTTATTTTATTTTTTTTGTAAAGTCACAAGAAGTTAAATATATTACGATTATTGAATCGATATAAATTTGTTGAATGATATGTAGAAAGTATTCGACAAAATGAACGATTCAGATCATTAAAATATGATTTGTGGTGAATTCCACTAGCCGAACAGTACACTCTAATTCAAATTATAGATGTGAGGAATCCATTTGTATTATGAAAATATATATGTAATAATTTTTCAATAAATTAAATCACCAACCGTCTTTATTTTTCTTATTTTTTAAGAAAGTATAAATGATTGTGATAAATTTTAGTAGATAAAAGTGTACTTAGAGCATCTCCAACGGTTCAGTATTTTTTTCACCAAATTTGAGTAAAAAATGGCTCATTTTCTCAATCTGATATCAGTTGCTCCAACGGTGCATCAAAAGGAATTGTCATCCCATGGGTCGACCGGTGGGTTGACCGGTTGGTCAACCAGTAAGGCTAAATTTTTTTTATTACCTTTTTGAACTGTTTGAACCTACTTATTTTGAACTGTTTGAACCTATTTCCGGTCGACAGTGGGTCGACCGGCCGGACGTCCGGTAGGTTGACCGGTGGGCCCACTTGTAACGTTACAGCACAGTGAATTGGTGAAGGCTCACGCAGATTTTCAGTTTGGTGAAAAATTTGCTCCGTTCTTAGTTTGATATCAGTTTGGTGAAACTATTAGAGCAGAAAAAGTGACTTTTTTCATCAAATTCAAATTTGATACTAAATCTGATGCAACGTTGGAGATAGTCCTATTCAATGAATATGTACATGTAAACAATGGGCGGAAGTATCAGTCTGTTGGCTGTCTAGTCCAATCTTATTCAGTTTGTAAAATTAGATTCGACTGATATTTTTGACTTGTTTACTTTTAGATTACACTTCGAATTTAAGTTTATAATCTGAGCTAGTCTGCTTTGATAATCAATTATTTATTTTATTTTTATTTATTCAATTAAAAAGTAATATATATATATATATATATTAAAAAAACAACTAATAGAGATTCCCCATCTTTTGTTAGTTGTTTCTCCATAACCCCCAACATCTTTTCTCAGTCATTTTTAGTGACCTTTTTAATAACAATTGGTCTATGAACGTAATTTCATTATTGGAGTAGAATTCACCCTATGAGCTTCAGTTTAGAATTGGGTTTGGAATGATTATATAAACTTGTAATGGCAGGGCTAGACTTCAATAGATACAAAGTCTTTCATGTGAAAAAAGAAGCTTGAACCTTTCTTAGCTTTTTGAGGAAGCTTGACCCCTTTGCTCTAGCTTCCTGAAAAAGCTTGACCCTTTTTGCTTTAGCTTCCTTAAGAAGCTTGGCCCTTTGCTCCAAGCTTCTAAGAGAAGCTTGAACCTTTGTTCTTCTATAAGAGAGAGCCTCTCCCTCATTACAAAAGGTTCAGATTTTTGGCCAAGGCTCCATACACATATCTCTCTCTCTATATCTCCTCCATTTTAGCTCAAAAAGTGTAAGGTTCTTGGCCCCATTGCACTACAACTCTTAGCCTAACCCTTCCACCTTCGGTCTAAGCATCTTGGAGGCCATTTTCAGAGGCTACGGGATTGGTTTTTGGGTCCAGACCTGCTGGAGTTCTTGGCTACAAGGGTAACACTCCTTTTTCCTCTTTTATTCCTCATTTTTGCACAAGCTTTTAGCCTGTCTTGCATGCTGTTTTGAGCTTAGTGTGTAACTGATAAAAGTTCTGATTTTGCATGCTTTTGATCTTTGTTTAAGGTCACTTTTGTTTTTGGGGTTGTTTACCCCCTCTTAGGCCTTGTTTGGCCTCTTTTTTGTGCCTTTTTTGTGAGTTTCGGGACTACCTTGTATTGGCCTTCTCACCTTCAGTGGTGGGGATGGTGTTTTGAGGTCCTAAGAAGGAGAGCGCCACCCCCTCTCCTTATTGTCTTGTTTACTTGCATTTTTGGCCTTACAAAGGAGCCCACATTTTCATGTATCCTAAGCTTGGTTTAGGCCCCTTTTGGTGACTCTTAGGACCTGCCTAGCCTCTATCCATGTCTGGTTTGGTCCCCTTTTGTTTGCTTCTTGCATGTGTAGAGTAACCCCTTTCTTGGCTTATCAAAGGAGCACCCCATTCTAGCATGTGTTGACTATGTTTCAATAGGTTTTTAGTCATATTTTGGCATGCCATGAATCTGTTTTTGACTGGTTTGGTGGTCCCTCATTTGCTTCACATGCTTGTAGTGTAAACCATGCTTACTAGCTCACATTGCATGTTGTTATGGCCCTCCATTCTAGCATATTTTGGCCATGTTTCAAACATGTTTTGTTCATATTTTGGGCTGTCTTAGCTCTGTTTTTAGGCCTCTTGGTCGATTGGTGCTTGCCATGCATGGTTGTAGTGTAATAGCCTTGCTTACCCTTGAGTTTTGAAGCCCCTTGCGTGCGTTGCTTGAGGTGTTTGCATGTTTTGGTATCATAGGGAATGCTATTTCAGAGCTTATATGTGTGCCATATTCTCATGTTTAGCATGCCTTCGATGCGTTTGAGAGTTGCATCATTATGCCTTGTTTATGAGCCTTTGCATGAGCTTCATTTTGGTGCATATCAAGCCCTCATTTTAGCTCATTTTGCCACTATTTAGGGACTACATGAGGTCTGTTAGGAGTTGGTTTCATCATTTGTGCATTGCTTTGCATACCTCTAGTGTAACGTGCTTCACTAGTTTCGGTATTTAAGCCTTCCTACATGCATTGCACGAGTCGTTGCATCATTTTGGAGTCATTTTGTATGCTATTTCAGAGCTGGAGTGTATGCCATTGTACCTCATGTTTCATCCTTGCCATGCTCTTGGAGAGTTACATTTTGTGCCTTAGTCACGGGGCCATTGCATTGTGCATGTTTGCATGAGTTTTGGTGCTTTGATTCCATCATTTTTGGCCACTGATTTTGGCATGCTTGAGAGCTACCCATGTTAGTGTAAGTCCATCTTACCATGTTGTTGCATGCTTGTTTCATTTTGCATGTTGTTGCATGCTATACATGTCCACATGTTTAGGTTGTATACCTATTGCATATTACATGTTAACATGCTCCTGTTGCATTAGATTTGTTGCACACTTGAGTTATTTGCATGCTTGCTTGCTTGCGTAGGTTGCATTGCATTGTGTGTGCATCTCTTGCCTCCTGATCAATCATGATAGAGGTTGGGGCCCTTTATGTGTTTTGTGCATTTCATTCCATATTGAGTTGCACACTTGACTCTTTGGCCATCATGCATAGAAATGCGTGATTGGTGGCCTAAGGGTCGAGGACCATTCTCCCTTGAGTTCATAACATGATAAGGAGGGTGGTCGTGCACACATTGCTTTGAAAATGCATTGTCATGCTCTGTTTGCCCTCTGCTGCTGCAAAACAGGATTCTGCAGGAAGAGTTGGCCGACCGACCACATTCAGTGCTGGCCGGCTATTCATTTCTAGCCGAGAGCTCCACTTATGGCCGATGACCATTTTCCAATGGCCGGTGGCCTTTCCTTTTGGCCGGTGACCTTCCACAGTGCTCAGAAGGTGGTTCAGAAGCATTCTGGAGACTTGTGCAATTTTCAGAAGTGCAGAGCAGTGTAGACAAAGCAACATGAGTATGGCGATGGATTTTCAAGCGAAACCGAACATACATGCATGCATTCATCCCTCTTCCTAAGGCCTCTTTACTGCTTTCTTAGCTTAATTAATTCATTTAATTAGTTAAGTGTTGTGTAATAATTAATTAGTTTGTTACTTAGTTAATTTGTATTATTCTTTCGATCCCTCCGAGAGAGGGCAAATTATGTAATAAGCGTGCGTGTGTGTGATGCATGTCTTCCAACCCCACGTCTTTCTCTCTTTTATTTAACCGCTTACAATGGTTAGTTTTAGGACACGTTTCAATTAGCATACTTATGATAGCATGTTTGCACACATTCATTCGTATTGCATGCACTGGGCTCGGCGCATCATGCTAATTGCATTGTATTTCAATTCCAATTTGAATACATGTATCAAGTTGCATTTCACATGACATCTTAGAATAGTTGAGCCTATTTCTAGTTGCATTTTACACGTGTTGCATTTGCCATCTTAACATGAACTAGGATCATGCATTTGATTGCTAATTAGTTTCTGTTTTGGCTTGAAGTACTAGGTAAGCATTTACGCTTTAGCATCCTTGAATGTGTGTGAGTGTTGCCATGACAGCATGCTTACCATGAGGCTATTGGCGTTTGTGATGTAACTGCCTGAATGCCTGTGGGTGAAGGTTGGATTGCTTGAATTGGGTCAATTCATTGAAATCCATATTTTAGCCCACTTGCGAGTAGCAAAACTCAAACCATTTTTCCGAACAAACGGATATGCAATGCTTTATTCCAAATTAGGCGATCTAGTCTATACTTGTTTTGCTGTGCGCATCACATAGTAACTCTAGCTAATTAACCGGAATAAGAACACATGTGTTTTCAAAAACAAGATATCATGTTTAGTAGTGGCCGATCTTTGATCGGGCGAGCGGGGGTGCTCATAGCTGACCTTCCCCAATCGTACCCAAGTTCCCGAGCCGAGGTAACTTTAGTGATGATGGACATGTAGCCTTAGGCAACGAATCAGGATTTCCTAAATTTCCTAAAAATAAAACATTTAGGTGGCGACTCTGTATCTGGCAAAGCAGTCTATGTTTGGCACTTCTTTCTAAAAATCAGTGTTCCAAAACGATTTGCTAGATTTGGAC